GAAGTTTATGCGTGAATATTTTTGGCTTCTTATTAATAATTTTTGACATAACCTGTAATTCAATATATCCATGAAATATTTGCAACCACGTTCTAGTATTATTCGAATAATAGTGAAGATTGATGGAAACATATTTCCAGTAAATTTCATTACTAGAAATTTCACTAGTGTGTTACATATTTTACAATTATCTACTAACTTTGAAAATTTGTTTAATTATGCATTTTATGCTCTGAAAATTTTAATTAAATAGTTCTAAAATTGTTTTTCTTTTTGGTCACTTTGAACAGGTATCTTTATTCCTGCCCTGATATGGTTGTCCACATTAGTATGGTAATTATTTCTTTGTTGGTTTACATTCTTTGTTGTTTTTATTCAACAACTCTCTTTCATGATGAATTTCAATCTAGTATAAATATGCTGTTCAGTTATTTATCGATCACTTAATCAAACTAAAGAAGTTATGTAGATTTGTTATTTTGTTTTGGCAGGCCGAGGATTTCTTGCTAGCGCAGTCGTTATGCAGATTAGCTTTTACAAATGAAACTGACGAAGAGGAAGTGTTGAAAGTGTTCATTAATGCAACTGCCGTCGATTCAGTTTGTGTTGGATATCTGTTAAATAATATTGAATTGATCAAACGATGTATGGATTATTGTCAAGTAAATAATGAACATCATTCGACAAATGCAGCAAAACTTTTATCTAACTTATCGTTACATCTTCCAGAAAAGGTTGTCATCATTTCTTTTTTCAGCGGCGATGCATTTTATATAATGTCAATGAGGTGGAATGTCATGAAAATCGAGTGTATAAGAGACATTATTTTTAATTTTACTGAAAGTTACAATGGCTATTTAAATACGTTTTAAGTTTTAGAACTTGATTATATAAATGTTTCGAAAAAGTTTATTTTGATGCTTTTCAGATAAAAGTAAAACATGAGATAGTTGAATTTTATAATCCACTGTGTCAGGTTTAATTTAAGTCAAATGAATTTTATAATTATACAATTTTGTTTAATTTTAGTTTTACGATGTTCTGCTTATAAATTGGAATGGATTTGTTGCTGATGTAGTCAGTGAGTTTTTCAAAGTTTACAAAAATATCACATTAAAAAGGCAGAGTGTATAATTTAGGCTAATTTGACTTTTGATAGTTCTAGTTTTTATGAAATAATACAGAGGACTTTGTTTAATTAAGATTTTATGTTTTTATATATTGACTCAATCAGAACTGCTTTATTTTATGTTTTGTTCTGCTACATATATATAATTGAAATTGTCAAAAAGACATGTGAAATTCAGAATGTTTTCATTTCGAAGATTGACTACATTCTATATTATTTTCAGAAATGCTAACTGTAAGACTTTGTTCGGAATATGTTGATTATCTCGGTTATGTACTTATTAATCTAACATCACTTACAACTGTCCGTCAGCTGTTATGTAAATGTTTTCTGCCAGAGTTATTACTACTGATTAATTGCGACAGTATGCCGAAACGATGCTTAATCGCATTTGAAATTATAAGAAATTTATGTTTCGAAAGTGGTAAGATTTAGCAAAAAGTTTTTCGAGAATTTCATTAGCTGCGATCTTTTAAAAGCGGCTGTATTTAATGTTCTTAACTTTTCATAAAGGAATAATAGATATAAATGGTGCAAAGCTTCTTTTCATTCGCTTTTCCAAATATTTCTGATTTCAAGTTTTGAATTAAGTTGGAAGCAGTTTTCGTGGCATGAACAAAAATTTGAATAGATTTGCAAATATTTTCTAACTGTGCATAATTGATAAGGATATAAATTCCGAGCAGAGAAGACAGAAAATTAAAATGTGCGTTGAAAAATGGCAGTAAGGCATAAGGTTTGCTTTTAAAAAAGTGTCTTTTGTGCATGCTTATTTTTTCTCTTTGCATCATTTGAGAAGTATTTGATGAAATTTTCCCTGCTGCTTTCGCTAGTGAAGAAATGTGTTGTGAATCAAGTAGCGGTGCTGTTTGTAAAGATTGATAAGAGTTGTGTTGTCAGGTTATCAGTTAAGAGCGGAAGGTTGAAGCATTTTGCTTACATAGCAAACACGGAAACATCAAACGAGCTACCACCAAAAGACCAGCAAAGCCGATTATTTTCTTTAGAATGTTCTCATTTTCCTGATAGCATCCATCATCGCGCTTTAACACTTTTCGTTTGTTCATTGCAGAAGTATAATTTTTTAGTTGTTTACTTTCGCAATGAAAAAAGCAGAAAGTGTTTGTAATTATAAAATACTGATTATTCAAACTGAACAAGCTTTATGTCTGATTCTCACTCTGTATTGCACGAAATAGTTCATAAAAAAGTGAGCGTTTTTTGGTAATCTTGTAAAGATCAGAGTTATTGAGAGCACGTAAAAAGTTGCGGGATATTAAAGAATGATTGCTAAGCATGCGTTAGTTTTTCGTTATTTTGAATTTTTAGGTATCGGAAAACCGAGAATAACTAAAAGCTGTTTAAATAGCGGTGTGAATTTCTTTTGGAATTTTATTAAACGAGAAATTTTATCTTTTTGTAATCAGAAGCATGTCTGATATTTTTACTTAAAGCTAATATCGAGTAAACTTTTTTGTGCTCACAGTTATTAAAATTTTGATTTATGCTAAAAAAAGCAAGGATGAAATGCTTTTCTTAGTCTTAAATTTTCATGGTCATTTGAAAATTTCTAATTCCTGAAATGAATATCCCATTTATCTTAATTGCTTGCCTCAATTTATTGCAGTTTTGATGGATGAGAAATGAGCTGTGTTGTTTATTCTGATATGGACTTGAATCCATGTATGTTGTTAAGTGGTAAAGTTTTTTAATAATTTTCACAAATCATAAATAAGAAAATATAAAGCAGGGATGAGTCTTGCTAAAAGGAGCAAGTTCACCGTAACCGTTTTTATTGGCAAATATTATTATGGTGGTTAAAATTAGGAAAGGGAACTTAGGTAGGATTATAGGTGATTTAGAGTGCGCCAAATTTAAGCAGCAGCATAATAATGTTTGGAAACGAGATGAAAAATCAGTTTAGATTTTTATTTGTTAACAGATTATCTAGCTGAATAAGTTAATAAGAGAGTAAAATTCGGATTGAGCTCTTGACTTTTGTTTAGTAATTCAAGTGTGTATGGTTATCTACTTGCGCCAGTAGCTCAGTACCCATAATTATTGATTCAGACTTTTGTGACCATTCAGGGATTAAGTGCCTTACTTTGTTGTGCATGTTTACTGATGCAGCTTTGATATATTAGTAGCTATAAGTTCAACTATGCACGACATGCTGAGTATTTGTAAATAAAAAGTAGTTATCACCGGGAACAGGCTAGTTTTCAAGTACCATATACTATCTAATTTCATGTCGCTACGTTGTTTCAAATGTTACCATTCGTCTCTTACTTCTTTAGCAGTAAACAATGAAATAAATGTAGAAATGAATTGAGTAGAGAATAGTTCTGTAAGGGATAAATAGCTCTCGTTTTGATGACGTTAATGACATTATTCATGATTAACACTTGTTATTTCACTATCTTCATAAATGATGGAGATAACTTGCATTAGACACAGTCATCCCAGAGTTTCGCAGCCAAAAGACATTAAATTAGACTAAACTCACAATGAAAAGTATTTACATCAAAAGCAGGTCAAGATTTATAAGCTAAAGACTTGATTTAAAGGATTGATCTTCGTTATATCGTGTGAAAAGATAGCTTTTGATGACAGAATATTTCTTAGAAACAGTGCGCAGTCAAATTATTTGAAAAAGAAATCTTATTTGTCACTATAATTTATGATTGTTAATAATTAGTATTAAATCATTAAATTAGATTTCTGTACTTTTGAAACTAGAAATAGAAAGTTTGTTTTTAGCAAGTAAACTTTTAACTTAAGTTGGCATATATTGCTATTTGCCCATGTAACTGCTGATTAAATGCAAAAAAGTGGAATTTGGAAATTTTCTTGTTTAAGAAATACTGTTTCCTTGTGCATATTGCATCTAGTTTGAATATTTGCTTAGAAGAAAATCCTGTTCATTTAGTATATACTACAATATACCTTTCTGTTTCTATTATACCGTAGTTACAGCTATTGAGAAAATTGTTTAGTAGCACTGAAATCATTCGAAACCATCTATGGTATTGCTGGATTTGAAATTACGATATTTCACATTTGATTTATTGAGTTCTAAGTTCTGATAGATTATTGCATGATTATGATCTTAATGAAGAGAAGTTAGGATAGAATTAATCCAGTTTGAACTTATGTAAGTTGACTATCGCTAATATTTTGCACTGTTAGGAACAAAAGGTTCAATTCAATGATAATTTTCAAATGAAATATTTTAGATTTTAGTAAATAATAATCAGACAAATCTTTGAAATTTTATTTAACACATCATAGTGTAGCAGGTTGATATATTAATATAATTTTTGATGTAAGATTTACAAACTTGATTGCGAACTATGTACAAGTGCTTCAAGTATTGCCTTGATTAATACGTAACTAACTAATTGCTTCATTAGTATTGTCTAACTTGAATTCGATTATCATCTTTTAGAGTCTTCAAGTGTTTTGACTATTACGTTTATATTGCAGAACTTGGGTGGTTTAATTTTGCTTGATTTAATAAAATATAAGGCGATTAACCAGTATTTGGCGATTTTGATTGCTAATATTAAAATTAATTTTGCTCATGGTGTTATTTTTGCAATCCACTGATTCTGTTATTTCATTTCGACTTATTATCTAATTTCATTTGAGCTTGTTCGTCTTTTTTTGCAGTAAAAATGATGAAAAAATTTTAATTGAATTTCGGAAGGAAGGATTTTTTTAAACGAATATAATTTTTGAAAGCCACGGCTCATTTTTGTGCTGGAATTGAGGAAATGTTTCAGAACTATACGGAATATGTCTTACACATTTTTATTTTTTAGAGTATTCTTGAATTTAACCGCTATAATTAATATAAATTTACATCTATCACATTGACGTAGCGTGTTAGATATATCAAGTTGTACTATTGATATGCTTGTTAAATACATCAAGTATGCCAAAACAGTGCGAGTTATACTGTTGGCGTGCTTGTGTTCACATATCTTTACATTGTTAATTATGTTAGTTTACTTACTTTTGTGTCATTAGGTTAGTCATTTATAAAATGCTAAGCTAACTTTTATAGGAGATAGTATTTGTTAGATCATTTAGTATAAGAGATTTATATGTCGTAGCTTCGTTATAGATGTTTATCATTTTCCACATTATTTGTCTTCCACTTTTTATTTTTTATATCACTAATTAATTTGCTCAATATTTATGTGCTTTGATCAAATTTTCAAGATCTTTGTAATTACTGCAGAAAAACTTTTGTCAAAGCATTATATAAATGCTGAAATTACATGATTTGATCAGAACTGCATCATATCTGGATTATATATTATCTGATCGAATTCTGCATACATTAGTTGACATTGGTAATATTGTTTAATGCTTAAAGACTCTACAACATTTATAAGAATCGAAATTGACTCAAAAGTAGATGACGTTAATTTTGGTGTAAAGAAACAAAGTTATGTTCATTTTTATATTTATTAAAATTCCGTAAATTTCAATATGGAAAATAGCTGATCGTGTATCACTATTAGACAGTTTATTTTTGTATAAAAAGGTATACCATGGAGAGATTATTTTGGTTTTTTTAATTACATGCATTTTATTATCTTAAAAATGCTTGCTCATTGTTTTTCCAATTATTTATTTAAGAGTATTTAGGTTTATCAGTTAAGTAAATGAATCATTAATATTTGGGAAGTAATTGAGATTGATGTTTACTTATAGTACTATTTTATTAGCAGATAAGATATGATATCATAAAATTGTCAAATATTTATTAATCTTTATGATTTTTTAACAAGTCTAGTGCGAAATAAATCTGAAAGTTTTCGGTAATTTCAGATTGTCATACATTTCTTCTGGATGAAGATGACGAATTTCTGACTGCTTTGTTGAAGCCAATAGCAGATGTGAATGACAATTTGAAGGAAGAAGAAATTGAAAAGTTACCAATTAACTTGCAGTATTATGAAGGTCATCGATGTCAAGATACATTAATTACTGACAGTATTGTTGATTCACTATATCAGGTGAGTTTTTGTATAAAATACTTTTTTACATCGAGTTCCAAATGTTGGTTGCTTTGTCAAGTTAACACGCAAGATAAAACATATTTGACTTTCGTAATGACGTGACGATTCTAAATTCATTTAATTTGTAGCTACAAACATTAATAAGAAATTATGTATCTGAAACTCTTTTTGGTTATCACGATACTTAAGTGGATATAATCTATTATTTGTAATAATTAGTGGTAGCAAAGTATATAATATTTGCAAAATACACACAAGAAACAATAGTCAGAAGCTAACTGTTGATTTTACAGTAACAAAGTGTGTGTCTTTTTTGTAAATCACTTAGAATTATAAGACTTTTGTACACTTGATATTTAGTGTCCTCACATTGATAATATTTACTACATAAGCAGTAGTGATTTGCAAACGCGTTGAAACATATAATTGATAGATAACATCTTTAAAGAAATAATAATGATATTTCTGTTTTCGTCACTTTTATTTTATGAATAATTTTAGTTTTCTGACCATTGACCTTGTGATATGTGAGTTGTTTTTACTTGCTTCGAGTTATATCTGTATTGAACTGATCAGTTCATTCATCAAAGATAGTTTTTTAATTTTTTCCTTTTTTCAAACTTTTCTTGATCGGTTAATTCTTTTGTTTACGGCATCACAAGTTTTATGTTGGTAAAAAGTGGTATAATTATATTATTCGATCAGATATTGAGAACTTGTTCTGAAAACAAAGCTCATTTGTTGTGTAGCTCGGGAAGAACCACGTTTACATCACTGATAACGATCAAATTTACTACACCTTTTAGAATTTTTTGTTTCCTGCCAAAAAAAAAGTTTTTATAACATTGGGGAGTGTGAGGTGAATATTTGAACTTGTTTGGTAGTGTGTAAATTTAATGCTACCGTTAAAGTATGCAAGGGGGTGAGTTTCTTGTTTGCTTAGAAGATTGACGGGATTATCATAGGGAAGGTATCAACTTTAGGTAGAAAAAGCTAACGATTCAGTTATATTTGAAAGAGTGCAGTATAAGAGAAGAAAGATGAAGTACTTGAACTTGAGCTCATTTTACGTGGCACTACTCTGATGTTGATAGTGATTCTTTGGCACCTCGCTCAGTTTTTGTAACTCTAAACTTTTACTTGAATAAAAATGAATTAATGCAAATATATTAAAGAACTGACTGAAGATGAAAGTAATCATCTCTGTGTTCAATTGTTTTGTATGTTTGATGAAAGAATGCTCTGCTTGTTTTATCTAAGATAAATACTACAGTTGGCTGTTGGCTTCTACGAGAAGCTATTCGTTGACTGCAAGTTACACTTTTTTGTTTACGCTTTCATGTTAGTTTTTTCTATCATTCATGATTGACAGCTATTTCTGCGAAGTCGCACTATCAAAAACAGACGGGAAATGTTGAAAATTAAGCAAAAAAACCAATTGACTGATATGCATCAATAATAACAATAATTTATTTTGTAGCACAATTTTTCGAAAGTTTTGATTTGTGAATAATGTAGTTTGCACATATTCAAGTTGATACTTGAAGTAGACATCAGTTTGCACTGTAATTTGTCATACTACAGAGGGATTCAGTTTTGAATATGAACTTGAAATACATTAAACCAAAACTTGACATCAATTCTTTGGAAACCGTTTAGAAATGTTATAGATGCTATGGAATATATTTGCTAGGCTAGAAGCATAGTTTATCAGTGATTAGCCAAATTTCAGAAGTTGTTTATCGTTTCTTTTTGTAAGTTATGCCGACAAAGACTTGCAGCAGCCGAATTACTTCTGGTGCATAGTTACAACTAAGTTGGGAAGCATAAATTAATAAATAATAAACTTGTGCTGTAAGCTTTGCAAGCCGGAATTAGATAAGATTTGATGAAAAGTATTCTGCATGAAAAAAGAATTATTATTATTGCTGGCAGAACATAGAATTTACAGTGTCTAAGTTTTTTTCTTTGTGAAATAAAGAAGTATGGAATTCAAAATTTGCCATTTATTCTGTTACATCAAATAGGTGCTAGATGGAAGAAGAAAATAAAAAATAATTTAACACCTTTTTCTCAGTTTTTCTTCTTCATCTTACTCATCCAACTCGTATTGTGCACTTTGAATCTCCGTGTTGTTTAGAATGATTGTTTTGTTTTGATTAATTTTTTGCTCATTCTGCTTAATAATTATTGCTTGTGTTATGCAAAAGTGTAAACAGGAATGTTGGCACTTTTTGTTTTTTGACTGAAATCGAATGCATGCAAACCCATTCAATTGTTTCTTTCTTGAGGTTAGTTCCTAAAATAATATTCCAGTGTAGAAGTTGATATTTCAATTAAAAATTAATTAATTAATTACCTACAGTCCTGTTCACAATTTGCTATCACAAATGCACATAATTTTAGTTGGAAACCATTTTTTTAGTACTGTATTTTGGGCATAGTTTTTGAAAAAAAAACTGTTTCTTATAGATAATAAAATAGCTGATTGTGGAATGAAAAAACTTTGGGTTAATGAAAAGGGTTTGATTAGCAAAATCTCGTGGATGATTGTAGTGGCGATAATGGCTTGTAAGGAATTATATTGTACAAATTGCTTGCATTTTGCAAATATTTGCATATTTCTTATATGTATGGTAATGATACTGTTGAAGTTTATTTTACATCTTGCAAACAGCTTGCAATCTTTTTTAGTTGTTAAATTATTGAGATTAAGATTTGTAGCAGGAATATAGCAGCATTTGTATATAAGTCATATGCCTACTTTTGCACTGATGTTTTATAAAATATAATTATGCATGGTGAAGAAGTAACGAGTCTAAATGTGTTATATTAGTGAAGAAAGAGATATGGGCAAGCGCATGTTGAAGAGTAAACCAAGGAACCTACTGAGTAAAGGCACTGTGCAGGGTTTTTCGTTTCGTTTAATTAAGAAAGTAGCAAAGAGAGAGAAATGGACGAAATTTGTGCAAATGTGTACGTTATGATTGCCTGCGTACATTTAATTAACATTATTTTGTTTTTGTTTGGTGTAAAGAAAAAGGAAGCAATGAAGTGTGCTTGTTTCACAGTTCTGTTAATCACAATTTAGTTTTACTTCACACTCTCGCGTACAAACTACGTTTTTGTAATTATTCTCAACACCAGCAGCAGTAGTAGCAGCAGTAGCAGCAGCAGCAGCAGCAGCAGCAGCAAGTAGAAGATGGCATTTCATTTACTTAGACGTAAGATAAATTGGAGAAAGTAACAAGTGCACGATCAGCTGCTCTACTACGCAGCTATCATCATCATCACCATCATCATCATCATCATCATCATCACACTTATTTATCTATGATTTTTGTTTGTGTTCGTTCTTTTCTCTTCACACATTTTTGACTACTACTATTCAATCTGTTTTCATTTATTTTTTCATTCATTCTATTTCTACATCCATGCTATCGTAGTAGTAATGATAATAATGATGTCTGGTAATACTGTCTGTCAATATAAATAATGTTTATTTTGAGGAAAAGAAATTCTGCATACAAAAAATGATTTTTAAATAATACATCGTATTATTACATCATTATCAATGCACTTCATCATTCACTGCGTAATAATGCTCGCACTAGTGATAACCATAATGGTAATTATAATAGTAATAGTGCTATAATAATAATAATGATAATAATAATAATAGTAATAAAGAAGAAGATTATTTTGTAGTAGTAGTAAATGTTAAGCAATAGAGAAGATGATGACAGATTGACGGCAAGTGGATTTCTTTGATGAGGAATTTTTGCTCTTATATGAATAATTATTGGCATAATTAAATTATCATAATTTCAGTTAACATTTCATTCATAGATTGAGTAGAAGATTGATTTTGTTTTTAATACCTTTAAGATGTCAGCAGTGTGTCGCAAAGAAGAAAGTTCATTCATAATTTTTTCACAATACTTTTCGGTATTAAGAATACGAATTCAAATAATAAATTTCGTTCTTCGTAGTTTCTTCACAACTTTCATCTTTTTTCGGATTATTTAATTACTTTTTGTTCCACTTTTGAATTTGTTTTTTGCCCTGTCAAGTATTCACACTCTCCGAAAAGAATGTTTGGTAATCAGAATTTATTGGCAGAATACTCGTTTTACATTTCACGCGTAGTTGCAAGACGACAGCAAGGTGGTTGTTTTATGTGACAAATTAATTACGATTTGTCGGGAAAAGGCCACAGTGTTATCAATAGGACGAGTTAAAATTAGCATGCAAATTATTGCAGTAACACAAATAAATAAATAAATAAATTATTCTGATAATCTATGAATTGCAATGATTACGGAATGCATGGAAGTAAGCAGTAAAAAAGTAAACGAAGCAAGGTTTCATTTCAAAGTAACGAAAAGTGGAAATAAACCGTAGACTAGACTAGGATGTGTATGATTATTTAGATTAAGTAAGTTAATGTAGGGATAATTTCTCTATAATTTTCTAGGCAAGTCTACACTCCAATTCCCAGAGAATAATTGTTTTTAGCCAATCCATTTTCAGTTTTAATATTCTTTTGCAGTTTGGATGATAAAAAAGAATAAGCCTGCCTATAGAAATTAAAAAAGTATGTGCAAGTTTTTTCGAATAAATTTGGTATTATAAAGTATCACAGATGTCACTTATTAGAATGCATTGCTTTGGTACTGAGATGGGTTTTCAGTGTTTTGCTAGTATCAAGTTTCATCGATGCAAGTTCATGGTGAGAGTTAGATTTCAGGAATATTAGACCTTTTCATGGATTTTCCGACCAAGTTCCTATGCATAAAATTACTTTTTCCATCAGTAAATGCAACTATCTGATCGTATTTTCTCAAGTGGTGTATTGTTATTTTGCAGCTATGCGGAAGCAAGTTTGGTCTTGATGTACTTCGTACTAAAGGTATCTACGCATTATTACGAGAATTCGATCGAGCGAAAACAACTTTACTGCATTCAGAATCAGTTACAACGGAAGTACTGAAGTCTCAGTCATCCGTAATTAAGACTGAAAAGAATAGTGCTGTGGTAGATTGGGAGCAGTCACGGTGTCAATCAGCTGGTCATCAGAATGTAGATGAAGTGAAATCTACTGCTGACAATAACCGGGAAATGGCATTTTCAAGCAGTGTTTCCAAGTACGGTGTAAAACTTTTCGGCAAAGGTGGAAACTTAGTGTATATTGATGGAAAAAACTGCTCAACTTTGCATGCACTCATTGGGCTACTCATTCAAGATTAAATGTTGTTGCGCAGTTCACATTCGTTCTCAAGTACAAATGTAGATGCCGAGATGACATAAACAATTTTTGTTTCTTACACTTTGTGATTCTCTTCATCTCTCATTTTAAAGGTATTATGATCAAAATTGAAATCGTTATTCTCTTTGGTATATTTTTTCCATTGTATCAGAAATTTAGCATGCGTAGTGTTGTTGAAGCTGGTGAAGATAAATTCCTGTTTTAATCTGTTTCTGTTTCTTACAGTGCAGAAAATGGATATGGAGTACGATGTAAAAAGATGAACAGGATAGATGTGAAGCTCTATAAACAGGTTATTATTACTTTCTGTGATGACTTATGGACACGAGGCTATCTCGTTTTTCTTGTCGAATTGTTAAGTCACTTTTGCATTCAGTTTTGATTAATTGAGAGAGCTATTAAAGGAGTTCTTGATCATTCATGCTCTTTATATACGGATATGTCTATTGTTGAATTTTTATTTCACTCATGACATGCAAAATAACTATAATATATTCACTGGGCTTATTTTCTTCTTGTCTTTAATTGTTTTCTGTCAATTAAATGCAAATTGAGTTAATTCTGCGTTACGATAAGCTTGATATTCTTGTGTTTGTCCCCTACAATGTCAACATTGAGTATTTTGTTTATTTGCATTTTTTGATTTAAATTCATGGAATAAACATAACTATGGGAATACTGGTTGATCAAGTGTGATAAATCATTTCTTCACAGTGCGTTTAGCTTTATCTCTCGTGAAATCTTCATCTAGCAATATCAGTGGTCGTTTCCGGGTGTTTGCTAGTAAAGCATGGGAAAGGATTGTTGAGCAGGTCAAGTTTCAATCAAAATTATTGATCAAAGTGATTGATTTTCTGCAGTTAATGTATCAATAAAGTAAGAAAAGTATTTCGTCGAGTATAATAAAATATTGCACAGATTTTAAATTTGTTTCGTACATACTTGAAGTGAACAGTGGATTTTGTTTTGTGTTCACACTTACTTGACTAATGTACTAGAAATATGCGTGTGTGCATTCAAGATATGTCACATCATATTATATAGTGAGCACTGAGCAAAATTTCATAAAGAGGTGGGAGGTAATTTGAATTGTGAGACATCTGGACTAAATTCAATTCGACCAAGAATGATCCTGACAACTTGAGGGAGCATAGTGCTTTGGACAACTTTGAATGTTTGTTATCTCGATGGTGACATAGTTCTAATGAAGACGAATGAGCTATTTTTAGTAATAAGACGCGCAGTAAGCAAAATATGTTAGTCATTATGAGTGAAACAGATGGGACAATTTATTTTCAGGTCGTTCTGTTCACATACTTGCGGTAGTATTATCAGTATGAACAATGAAAATTGCTAACTTGCATGTTCATAGTTAGCAATTTCACAGTCAATCATTTGCTGAAATTTTTCAATTTAGATCTCTTAGACTGAAAGTTACGTTAGTACGAAATTATAGTTATTAGATAATGATTGCCTTCGTTTCTTCTACATACACATATTTGTCGTACTAGGAATAAATCATTACCATTTGCTGTAAATCACAGATATATTTCCTAAACTGCTTAGCAAGTGTTGTAGTAAAATTTTTGAACACAAAAATTGTAAAGTTCAAAGAAGATAAATTGAAAAAGTGATAATTAATATTCATTTGGTCGTTGTAATGAATTTTAGAACAGTATGTACTTTCTTTTAAAATGTGTGATATTTACGAGCCCTTCATTCCATTGACAACTATCAAGGTTTTACTGATATAATTCAATATGTGTGTTTAGGTGTAATAAAAGAGGTTAGTTATGATGATAACTGTATAATTAGTTGTGTTCAGTTGATTATCATTATAAAAGTAGTTTGAAAGCAAAAAATCCTGGCTATCATCAATATTGAGTCTTTTTTTATATCCGGAAATCAATATGATACTTGAATAATTCAATAATTTAAGACTAAGATTAAAAAAATATGCAAAAATTATTTTAATCAACTCTATTCCTAATTTATCAGTTATTGTCATTTATAATATAGTTATTATTACTATAATAACTAACTATAATTTTTGATGGCTATTTGAGATCGATGTGGTTATATGAGCAGCTGTCAACATATTGCAATGTTAAAGTGTTGACGGCAATCTGTTCACTCTCCTATTTCATTTTTAAATCGTTTTTTTGTGTAGGACAACTTTGCAAACATTTTTCAACTGCGAAATTACTCGGCTTTCTACTAAATTGAACAAAAATTTATAACAATTTCAAAATTTGCGAGACTATGCACAAAAATACTTGTAAATTACTCCTCACTGCGCTTAAATATACAGGCTTATGACATATTCAGTTTAAAATTTTAAACGTTTACACGAATAAATTTAAAAATATGATTTTAAAATGCAATTACTATTTTTAATATTTGACTTCAGTTATTAAAATATTTGACTTCAGTTGTTGACAAAAAGCATAAGCAAGCATTAACATCTGATTATTGTAACACCTTGTCCTATAATACTTCATTTATTCCATATTTAATCGAAAAATTTTGCTGAAAATTGCAAGAAATTGTTTTGATGAACAAATGTTTAGCTGCAATTTGATTATAAAATAAAATGAGATGACAGAAAACGTGATTCACGTCATTTGCAACATAAAAATTCTTGCACTACATATACGTATGTGTTTTTGCATTAACTAGCTTCTAATAAAGACATCGTCTATTGTATTTTCCTCACACTTTCACCATTGGTTCATCAATATCACAATATTTTTAATTAAATGTACTGTATGTGCCATGTTTACTTTATTTATTAATTTAATTAAAACTTATCATATTGTTAGTCGATCACTGACTCATATGAAATGTTAAAGAAATAAAAACAGGTTGTCTAACACAGTAAATATTGCTAAATAAAATAAGAGTTTATCATGTAAACAAATATCAATTAATATCATTATTAGTACAGAATTTACTCGAAAATCAAAGTATATTTTTGGTGTTAAAATATCGAATATCAATTGCTACGTTTAATATTTATGTTTCATATAATCTTGTTACGTCAATTAAAAATTTAAAATCAGTATGGCGCAAAAAATAACATGTTATTTTTGATGTTTTTATAGCGCCATTGTCTCAACGCTTAATATGCTATTCATATTTTGCATTATTGTGTATTCATGATGCATATTTAACGAATAAGTTTTACGTGAGATATTTTTATATCACATCATTGTCTGTGATTCTGAATATGTCAAGTAGAGTATTTGCATCACGGTGCCAGCTCCATGAAATTCGCTATATTTATAATATGTGAATATCCACCTAATGGAAAAAAACCTTATATATATGCGTACTGATTGTAAATCTTACCGTACAATAGTTCGTAACTAATATCATTATATATGCATTTTTAGTTTCACTTTGCAACATAAAACAGTTTAAAAAAAATGCTAACATCAATTTGCACGCTATAAAATAATAATACCGTACACTGTAATAAAAATCGCAAAGCAACAAAATAAATTATCTATTTGTCTTAAAACATTTGTTAGTTTAAACGAAAGTGAGACTTCATTGAGAAATAAACTTACGTAATAAAGTGCAATACGTAAACTATTTGCAAAATAAGTAATAACTTTTTAAATAATTCTTGTCAAATTCACTTTTTTTTTATGGAAAAAAAAGCGCAATAAAAGTTAAACATGTTAATTTTGGTGATAAAATAAAAACAAGCATAATTATTTATTGTACTTGTGATTATCAAATTGTTGATTAGTGCAAAAAAAATTTGAGGTGACAAATATGGTACCATGTTGGTACCTTTAAACCTTCCACTCATCAAAGGAAAAAATGAAAAGTGGGTGCGTCGATAAATATTACTCCGCCCATTATTTTTAAGCTACTCTTTTTCTTTTTTCTAATCTCCGCCTATTTTCAAATTTAGTTTTGCATTGGTAACCAATCAAATATGAGATAGCATTTAATCGCCTACTTGACTCCACCATTCAGAAAGCAAGTTTGACTATACACACGCACACTCACATACACCCACAGATATACACATACACACGCAGACACCTACACAGACACACATATACATTTACAGAGCAGTAAATACAACTTCCAAAGGTGTCAATTTCGTCAGTTGTCCCTCGCTACTGCTCTTATCGAAAAGCTATCCATTTGTCTGTTTGTCTGTATGTCTATCAGTTGACGTGTGTGTAAGTATATTTGTATTTATTCACGTATATGTATGTATATACATTGACGTATCTGTCTTACCAATGTATTGTTGAATCTGTCCACTTGCCATTACAACCAACTACAATTATCGTTGGATTCAGCTGTGATTGCACTCCATCACTATTTACTATCACCTCTACTACAATCGGTTACTGTCCTTAAACTCGCAATTATTTTTTTCTGATTTAAGCTTATTCTTACTACTACTACCATTAAGCATAATGCTTAATTTCAATGCTTAACAACCTGAAATTTCGGTAACAATATGCAATTTTTCTCTCCTACTGGAATATTCCATTACGCTTTGCATTTATCTTTTTTTATATACACGAAGAAATATTAAAGTATTCAAAACTGTCTAATCCACTTTTAATAAGTGCAAGTAAAAAAGATAGAATACAATCATTTTTCTGCTGCTAACGCAATTTATTCAATCAACTTCATTTCAGTGTTTTGCTATTACTCACTCTGAGTCACATACTCATTAAACTGATTATTAACTTTCACTACGTAAACTACGCATCGAATAAAAATAATACAATAATTATATTGTAATAATTATTCTAGCACTTACCTGAAATATTGTCTTCAAATATTTTGATAATTTGTACCTGACTAAACAATGTATTAAGCACTATTACTCAATCAACTTTTACCGTATGCAGATGGCATTTAATCCATTTTTAGCAAGGCCAGAAATGGCCTTGCTACCACCTTACTTACAACCGCCACCATTTCCATCTCTTCCCGGTCCAACAGGATTTTTTCCTCGCTTACCGACAGAAATTACAAATTTTCCTGGAACACTTCCATCAACAAGAAATAATAGAATACCTGAAATTGATGATGGAATAATTGATGATCCAAAAGTTGAATTGGATGATAAAAATCTTTGGGATCAATTCTGTAACTGTGGCACGGAAATGGTCATTACCAAAAGTGGAAGGTGAAGTAGCTTTTCCTTTTCAAATTTACACTTTAATTATTTAAAATTATAAAAAAAAGTTATCATAATAAAGATATATATCAGAAAATATATCAACTTTCTTCATGCTATTTATATATTACCATGTGACATTGCCATCACTGATATCATATAAAGTGTTGTTTGACTGCTAATTATGGTAATTCAATTCATTTTGAGCAAGTAATGACAAGTACAAGGTAATTTTTGTATTAGTTAAGTAAGGTGATTTTTGTATTAGTTAAGAAAATACACACTTGTACTATCATAAGTAATTCAGGCAAGTGAAAAAAGCTTATACTGTTATCACATTCACTAAAAAAACAGTGATTGAGAAAATTTTCGATTTTTCATTAATATGAAGAAACTCAAGCATTTTACACTGTTCATTCTTTAATTTATAATCAAATGATGGAGCAAATATTTTCGTAAACCCGAATATTTGTTAGATATTATCGAACAAATTTACTGTATTCTTGAGTATCTTAGCTTAAATTGATGCTTTTATGCTAAGTTTGTTCTCGGCTCTCCAAAATCATCATTTCTTATAGCAAAAGAAAACTTAAATTTGACTTTTGGTCACTTAATACATTTTTAAAAATTTTTATCAATGACGTAAGTAAAAACTTTTTTTCTATTTGCTTTTTATGTGATTAGTTTTAAATCAATATTTTATCAATTTTAGAAACTTCCTGATAACGTCCAGTTTTAAATTTAAAATTCAAGGTGTCAGATGATTTGATAAATTTAGTCTAATTTTTTAGACGAATAGTAGTTTGTTTAAAATGTTAATTTTCTACGTTGCTGAGTGGTAATTGACTTGTTCTTATCAATTTATTATCTGGTGGTTGATAATAAATCACAAAGCTTCAAATTTTAGCTAACAATTTAAAGATCCAACTATGAGTTCCAAAAGTGTAATTTTTAAAATCCAGCTAAAAATTTCTGATGATTGCTAAGCAGTGCATAGATACTTTTGAATTTTAACAAGAATTTTGTTAAATATAACAAGAATTTTTTCAAAAAACACAAGTTTGAAGCACTAAATTATTTGCTTAAGCGAATAGATTTATTTTATTTATTCATTTATCACTTTTATTTTGAAGCACAAATGTTATAAATTTTGTTTCTTCGATTATTTTCGTAGTTATTTATTTATTTGCATCAATTTTTATTCAAGCAGATATTTTTTCGTCTAAACATATAAAAGGAAAAGATTTAATATAAAAAGGGTAATAGGTTTTTTTATTCATTTTTGCATAAATTTGAAAATATCAATGACAAAAGTCAATATGTCAAATATTTGGTAGTTTAATGGGTGTTATTTTTTCACTACGTAAATAGATTGGAAAAAGCCTGATGCAAAAAGATTATTTTATCAGATTAACTTAATCACATCTCATTTGAGCTGAGTTAACGACAACGATCGTTTCCCATAACAACTACCTGCTCTATTTTTATTGGCTAATTCATCTTTATGACACATTAGCAAATTCTGCAGAAATGCTGCTGTTCACACTAAATTTGAATAGCGTTTATTATTTCACGATAATTGGAAGCTAATTATTGCAATCACGTAGATTTTATTGTACATTTTACTTTCTCCTTAATAAAGTTTATAAACTTTATATGTATTTTATGAGGACAAAATTTATCTATTTACTGTTTTCTTTTACCATAACAATATTGTACTCTCCAAAATTAGTTCCGATTTGCATACTGTAACATCAATTTGTGCGCGAATCCTCGTATTTGTAACAAACAGCAGGTCAAAGGTCAGTGATTGAACAAAATATTTTTATTCCCAAAGTTTATTCATGCAAAGTCTGCATTTAAACAAAACTTTATTTAAAATTATTTACTTGAAATATAATTCAAATTCAAAACACTTGTAATTAATCTAAAAATAACCATTAATTATCACTAATAACTTATATCTGCAAAATAATTTTACTCATTTCGTTCACACAATTTATTTTACCAAAAAATCATATTGTTTGCAAGTAAATTCAAAATTTTAAAATTTGAGCATTCTCGAAATATTTTGTCTAAATTAACATTTAATGGATGATTTTGTTTTGATTAACTTTTAACCCATTTAAACTATTTAATTGTGGTGATAATGTATTTGATATGACAAGAGCGTGAATGGGTGTCTTTCCCATCGGTGCGCAAGAAATGGAATTTATGGGGTATATTTCACACTGTTAATGGTTGATAAGCATAACATGTTTATCAATTTTATGACAAAATATTTAAGATTTTTGGTATTTATCAGTACCAATGGAATGATTAAAATCTAAATGATATAATCTATCTATTAACAATGTTGTATCAATGTGTACTGCCTGCCACATATTATTCGAATATAAAACTTGTAGCATCAAACTAATTAACAGTTTTTTAAACTTTCTTTTTTTTAATTTATTCAATTCCATTCCATTTTTGTCCATTCCATTTACTGTGTTAAAATGATTTACGAGAAGAATTTGCAATCGAGAAGAAACATTCGTCAAAAATGATTATAATTTCAATTTTTCACCAAATTACTGTGAAATTGAAACAATTGAATTTTATTTTAGATGAAATTTTTCATTTCCACACATTGGGTCATTTTGGTGCAAACAGACAAAACAACGAGCATTAATTAATTAATTAATTAATTAATTCATTTCTGTCTAATGAGACTTAATTTGGGACAAAAATTTTTAAAAAAAATTGCATTTTTTGTAGAAAAAAATTAGTGCAACGCTTTAAATGATAATATAATTTTGTTATAATTACATTTCTATTATGACATGAAAGCATTTCTAACTATTTCATCAATTATCATTTTCATAATATTTTTAATTAAGTTAATGCCAACTGAAACGATAATTGCTTCATATTGGGTCAGACTATAACTGTATCACATCTGTGGTTGAATCAGAAAGCTTAATTTTAGAGAAGTTTATCTTCAAGCGAATACTTTCTGAGTTTATTCAACAGCTTGAAAAAGTTACTTTTTCGAGTGAATAGACATTTAATTCCCTTTTGAATTTTTTTTTACAAGACAAAAATTTTGGAATAAAAACAGAAATGAATTGGAGCGAAAGAATAATTTTATTTATTATTTGGCATAAAATTGATATGTATATATAATATTCAAATAAATAAAATTTGCAATAACTGATAAAAGACTGCAAGAATGACAAGAGAACATTGAATGATGTACAATATGAATTGATATTTTCATATAAAAGCAGATGGCTGGCTGATAATGATTAGACAGAGAAGCAAAACTGATAAATATTTTTATGAGCTTTTTTACGACCTAAAATGGATAGAACATTTTGAACGCAACATTTTTAGTGAATAAAATTAGCAACTTTGAAAGTAATACAAAATTGGTAGTTTAACTTCTGAACCTAATTCTAATGTTTACGTTAATTTCATCTCATGACAGTAATGAACTGCGATACCAGCTACTAATTATTAGTTACAATTACATGTCAGATTGCATGAATTTTGCGAATTAACTGTGCATTCGTCGTAAACACTTTTACTCAGAAAACTTTGTTATTATTATTATTATTATTATTATTATTATCATTATTGTTGTTATTGTTATTATTACTAGTAGTGAAAAGAATAACTGTTATAAATAATACTAACAATTCTAATGACAATAATTACAACTGGTGCTGAACTGATTTGAAGAGCTAATATTAGGACAAAAATAAGTGATGTGGAACATATAGAGATTATTTCATATAAATTTCTATCTATATGTCGGATTTGTGACATAATTATTGAATTTCTTTTGACATTATGCTAATCAAACTGCTAGTAATTATCAAATCAATAATAAAAAGCTATTATCAAAATGATATCAAAAGTTTGAATATAAAAATTGAGCATATTTGCTTGAACTAAAAATTTATTGGAAATATGTGATTTTGACTGCGCGACTTCGTCATTTGAGCTGACAATTGTTTCTCTTCTTTTTTTCTCAAATTTGCATAAAATTTTCAAAATTGATAGAAAAGATTTTATCTGCTACACACTTGTGTGAATTAGTATGTAAAGGTAGTTTTGAAGGGTGTGAAGATGGAGGTGAATGTTTCTACTACCTTCGCACCACCTGTTGCCTGTAATCAATGAGATTTTTCTTAAAGATTTATGACAACAAAATTCATCCTTTTTCGGTTGTCTGATTGCAAAATTACCATATGCTTATTATATCGTTTTATCATGTTCTACAATCAATAATGATCGTTTTCGAGCATAAAACACTTAATTAATCATTATGATTACAATCATAATGATTTAAACTTCATATTCAATCAGTGATTGTTTTTGTGATCACTATTATTGACTACTATCATAAATATAAATAATAATTAAAATTATTCATATAAAAATTCTTATCAAAGTACATGCGACTGATAATTTAAATTTATGAAAATGACCATAAAATATAAATTTAATCAACAAATACTGATCATTCTATATATCATTTGTAAATATTTCCTACTTTTTATTCAGCGAGATGATCATAATTATTGAAAAAAAAAATAGTTCAGTAAAAATCCAATAATAACACTAATTAATAATAATTATTATCATTACTATTATTGTTATTATTACTATTATTATCATCACTATTATGATGATAGTCATAACAATAATAACAAAAATAGTAATAATTATATTAATAGTGATAATTGTACATTTATTGATATAGATATTTTGACAGTTGTAAAGTAAGTTACTACATTTCAAGGTTTAGTTCTGACAGAGATCAAATGTTTTTGAAGAAAAAAACAAAGTGAGAGCATTCTGCAGATAATTTAGAGTACAGTCATTTAAAATTCCATTTAGTTTGAAAGTGTAATAATTATATGAGATCAAATAAATTGTTTGAAAATTGTTTCACTCAGTATAGCACGGATAATTTATGATATTACAGGAGAATTTTTCCAGCTTTCAAAGTGAAACTTTCTGGTTTGGATAAACGTTCTAAATATATTTTATTGATGGATATTGTTCCGGCAGATGAATGTCGGTATAAATTCCATAATTCTCGATGGATGGTAGCCGGAAAAGCGGATCCGGAAATGCCAAAACGCATGTACATACATCCGGATAGCCCAGCAACTGGTGAACATTGGATGGCTAAAGGGGCTAATTTTCATAAATTAAAATTAACAAATAATATCTCCGACAAACATGGCTTTGTAAGTTTTTAAAAATTTTTGCTTTTTGATTTGAAAGAGTAATTTAATTTGTATTTAATAATTTTAATAAAATATTTACCACATTGTTCTTTTCAGCTTTTATATAAAAATTCTCAAAATTAGTAATTCAAATTTATTCAAATGAATTTTCAGTATTTCAAATCTTTATATTTCAAACTAATTTAGGCCTAATTTTTTTTTTAATTTGTAAATATTTCCAACTGGTTCCTTCACACTTGCCAGTAGATGAAAAACAATACAAAAAATTATTCGAATAAGTTTATCTTTCAAATTAATGCAAGCATTTTTACGTTACACTGAAAAATTGTTTCTCAAAAATTGCTTGAAGATTTTTTTATCAAAGAAAATATATTTAAAAATTCATATCTATAATAATATTTGTGCTAATTAAATATGAATTTAAAAAATTGCTCTATTATTTTTTGTGAAATTTTCAAAAATATTAATCTAAAATTCTGTTTTCAAAGTTAGTATTCTTTTGCAAGTAAGTAAATAAGTCATAATTTCAGTTTCACTATTGTCATTCAAATGAATGAAAAAATATATATTTTCAGTCTTTTCTTTCATTCATTCAAATGTCACAAAACTGAGCAAAAAATTGCTTCAGCGAAAGTTAATTTTAAAAAAATTTCCACGTTTAAATGTTCAAATGACTTCAAATCTTATATTTTACTCGCTTGTCTACATTTTAAAATCAAATTTACAATGCAAACTCGCAAGTTGAGTACTGTTTATTTATTGCATTTGCAAGGATAAATATTTGAATTTATTTTTCACTTTTATCACTTCATAAGTAAGTAATATTGTTTGTTATGAGGAGATAATTAGCATTATTTACTTAGTAGTAATGTAAATATTATTGTAGTAATAATAATAATAGTAATACAATGTTATATATTAATTAATTAATTAGATTTATTACATCACATTCAGCAGTTTAAATCATCAAATTAATCAATGAATTATGCTAATGAAATTAAAAAATGCAAACAATTGTGCAGGAGTAAAATCTGCAAGTTTTGTTGATATTATCTATAAACTTCTGCATGCCAAATTTTTGGATCACTTTACTTGAAAACAAAAAGTCATTTAGTACTGGCAGATGTGTAAATAGTAAGTAAGCACATTTGGTTTACCTTATTTTCATGCAAATAAAAAATCAATTTTAGATATATTTTAAACGTTAATTAAAATCTAATTGTGTGCAATTATTTTCCCATTTCATACTTTGATAATAATGACTAATTAGCTAGAAAGACCTGAAATTTAATCCCAATCACAAAATACTTTAGTATATCATATAAGCCCAATTAGTTAATTTGGGTTGCAACTCATCTAAAGGATAACAGTTCAAAAGTGTAAGAATATGGTAGTTCAGGAGCAAATTTTAAAAAATGGCGAATATGCTATTAAGAGATTACTTTTTAATAGTAATAAGCCATAATTTTTATACAAATAAATTTTTAAAAGTCATTTTTAAAAACTTTTCATCAGTATAATTAATTTAAAAATTACTTTGATTCGAAAATAATTTCAATTATTGAAATAGCAGCAAATATATATACTAAAATGCTAATATAAACATTTTTGCTTACTTTACTAATTTGAGCTATTCTTAAACAATCTTTTATCCACAACAATTCTTTCTTGAGTCTTTTAACCGTTAAATATTAAACTTGTCAATTCATGTATTACATTTCATGTATGTAATTTTAATACAAATACTTGTTTTAGTGAAATATTATATTTTACACTTTATTTTAAAGTATAATGACACATTTTATGTGAAGTTGTTATCAGAAGACAAAAGGTTGAAATTGATATGATTTAATATGATTGATAGAAATAACATTCGAATGAATGCAAGATCATAAATGAGAGGTTATCTTTTATCTACACTTTTCATAAAGGCGCAATATTTCTTGCTGTATACGACTATCTGAACCGAGAAATAAATACATATTACGTCTATTTTCTTCGTTTGTTATCACTATTATCATTTTAACAGTTGACTAAAATCTATACAGAAATTACACAAAAACTGTAATATATTCGTGTGATATTTGCAATTGACAAAGCAAGCAGTGCGCAAATAAGTATAAGTGATATTTGCTGTCATCCAAATCAAAATTATACATTTTAGAATTACTTCTTGCTGATTTTCACATTTGATAATATATTTTGTGGTTAAATACTCTCTCACAATATTTATCTACAGTAATAAAGATAGATAAGATGATGATAATTATAGTTTCATAAAATTATTAATGAATTTGATGTATTGCGTATGCATGTACGTGTGTATGTGTAAGATTTGTTTAAGAGTGTTGTAATTAGTACAAACAATATACATACGTGTAATACAGATATCCTTATAAATAAGAGTGTGTAATTTATTTTTGAGAATTCAAACAATTATATAATGATTTTGTATATTATATAATTGTTTTATTAAAATGATCACAGTTAAAATGATTCCAAAAATTTTTTTGATTTTAAAATTCATAATTTTAAATTTTACATGTCTTATTTAAGAAATAAGATTAAGAAACTGATAGCAAAAAGTAATCTCTGAGAATACAATTTTTGATAAATCTGATAAAAACACTTTACTTCACGTTGAATTTTAATCTTTATTGAAGTTTCAAAAAAAAGATTAAAACTTCTTTTAGTAACAATTTGCATATGGATGATTATAAAACTGATCTGATCTAGATTTATTAATACAAATTTCAAAGTTGCAATAAAAGTAAAACAATGCAAGTTGTGCGATCTAATTGATATTTGTTCGCCCTACGGCGATAAATCATTCACTGAAAGTTTGCAATTAAACTCTGAACAAATTAGTTGAAAAATTAAAATTTGCAGAAAGCTTTTAGAAATTTTTACAAAAAGTATTCTTTTTGGTTGAATGACAACTTTTTATATTTGTGTATATTACTATTGCGCCAAATTTTGTCATCAATTTTTTTTATTTCCAATTTGTTTGAAAGTTTTTTTCGAAATTGCAAATGCAATCGTTTCTAAAAAGGAATTACTGAAAACACAACTGATTAGCACACTTAAACTTGTAAAAATATGCTTAAAAGTAGTTAAAATTGGCAAAAAGTATTTGGATGGATTAAGTGTGATATTGTGCAAGCATACTGTATCATTTTTACTTAACAATTATTTGCATATTCTAAAAAGTGTAAAAAAAAGACTGAAAAATATGATTCAAAATTTAAATTTTACCTATTTATTGAAAACAAATTTTAATAAGAAAATCAAAAAATGACTCATTTAAATTTTTTAACTATTTAAATAACTTTTAAATTTATTCAATTCTCGTGTCTAAAAATGATATGCTAATGCTTCTTTCTCCTTCAATCCAATACAAAAGTATTGTACTGCCTAACCTCTTACAAAAGTATTATACTGCCAAGTGCAGTAATAGTGGATTATTTTCAAATGTTTGATACCAGTCTATAGTAATTATTACTACAATCAATTGTTGTGATTGTAAATTTATTTTAAATAGCTCTGTAAATGCAATATTTTCTTGAGTTTAACTTTAAAATCAAATTATATAAAGTATTATTACTTTTTAACAAGTGTGTGAAAGATTTTCAAATTTTCACCAGTTATTTTTTCATACAGCAAATAATATTACCAAAATAATCATTGCATAATTGCAAACCAGACTGTGCAAAATACAAAAATGTATTTAATCTTAACTTTTTGAATGAAAAAAACAAAAAAAATGAGCAAATTATTGCGCAACTTTTTTTGCTTCTGATAAATTTAACAATTTTAAAATTCTTCTTCTGAATAAAAAAATTGATAAATTTTCCAAATTTTTTATCTTTTTCTTCATAAATAGTTTAATGTTTGCAAAATTATTTGACAGAAAAATTTTTTGTCAAAAAATTTTTTTTGATCGCTTTTTAATGTTTCAACGATCAAATCAATATAATTACTGATCAATCAATGAATCAATCAATAAATAAGTTGATCAGTCAATAATTATAATAAAATTGAATATTATCAAATAAATGAGCAGTTTTTGCTTAATCATTCATGCATGCTATTCATAAGTTCTTTTCCATAAATTTTCAAAATTTTTTCAAAGTTACAAATATTTTTCTTTAACGCAATAAGTTGAAAAGCAATTATAAAGTAAAGCGAAATAACTTTTTACTAAATTGCTCAATTTTATTATCATTAAAAATTAACACTTTTTCTATTTCAACAAATTCCTTGCCATGCCATTTTACGATCATTAAATTTGACAAATTCATTTTATACTTGATAAACTTTCTACTAATACCACTACTACTTTTGCTCTTGCATTAAGACATTGCATCAAATGAGCTGTTAAAATTGTTTAATTTTCGTTTCAACAAAAAAAAAATTGCACAAAAAAAGAAAAAGGCAACTAAAAATTTGAAAAAATTAACATTTTTTGTTATTTTTTAAAAATTATACTTTTTCACAATTTTATTAACTCAACTTGTTTGCAATAAAAATTGCAACTGAATTTTTATTTGTTTCAAAAACACAAAAAAATAAATGCAAAATTTTTACGATCAATTCTATAAAATATGCAAGAAAATATTCAAAACAATAAAAGTCAAATTCTGCTATTCAAATTGCTATTTATGGCACTTTCTGACAGTCTTTCTTCAATTTTTTACTGTCTTTTTGTTTTTATTTAAGTGAGCGAATTTTTGTGCAATAAAAATTTAAAAATTCAAAAATTACTTCTAGTACAGAAGAGTACTTACTTTATTGACAAATTGTTTACGAAAAAGAAATTAAAAAACTTGAAAATTTTCGAAATTTTTTATAAAATATGCAAAAATTATTGAATTTGAAATTTTGTAAAATATTGAAATCAAAGCAATAAATTTTGTCAAATGTTTTGCTAAGGTATTTGTTTACTTTTTTATTCGATGAGTAAATTTGTGGTGGAAAAAATAATTTTCGAAAGATTTGCGATGTTTTGTTGGAAATTTCGTTGGTGTATTTGAGTGAACATATGTTTTTTTCCAGTTGTTAAGAAATTGTGGAGGAGGAAAGTTATATCAAAGGTCAAACGAGGTCGAATTTTAAAGAGATTTTAAGCGGCTTTTGCAAAAACTCTTTTTTGTTAAATTGTAATGAAATGAGATGGGTAAGATTATCACAAATAAGTAAGTAAGCAAGAGATGTGCACAGCTGTTGCGTCAATGTATGCATCATAGTAACAAGATCGACCTGGTACTCATTAACTAATTGACCTTTTATAAGCTTTTCAGGTCATTTGTTAAAAGCTAGCTACCTGTTGTTCCAAAATGATTGATAATCATTATTTACGTTAATTGCCTTATACTTTTTTGAACTTTGACATCAAACTCCGGCAAACTTTATGTTTCCTGCGAAAAAATATTTTTATTTTGTATATAATCCATTAAATTATACTGTATTGTGTATACTTCTTGCCGAATTTTTTCTGAAAATTATTTTTCACAACAAAATCATTGCAACAAACGAAAATAGTAATTCAGTGGTTTTCAGAGTAATCAAATAACTTTTACTTTTTTATTTTGCTTTTTTTTATTTTACTTTCTACATATTTTATTCATTTTGTAATATAATACAGAACAATACAGCTAATAATACAGATCTAAAAGTGAAACAAATTTTGTGAATTTGAAATTCATTTTTATTAATTTTCAACTTTTTTCAAGCTTAGTATTGCTTGCATAAAAAATTCTGTATTTTTTCCCCTAATATTATTGTGAATAACTCTGAATATTTTCGTAAATGCTATTTAAATTCTCTTTTCTAACTTTTTTTTAAAATGAAAAATCTTTGATAGTTGTGTATTTTATTTTAATTATTATATCACTAATCCTAATGCAATTTTGCACAATTTCGCTTACAAATTGATTAAGTAAACAATTTCTGAACCACTTTAGTTACCTTAACTACCATAAATTCACCTTAACTACCACAAATTATTCTACCTCTCATAAAAACTGATCCTAATTTTTCCCTAAAAAAAATTTTTACTAATTTCAATAAAACAAAAAAAAAGAAATGTTAGTAAGGGTAATTTTTAGAAAGTGTTAAAATTGGCAAAAGAATGGTAGAAACTTGACAAGTTAGAAAGATTAATGAAGAGACAACTTTTAAACACAACCATTACACAAACAACTGCTCATCTTACACCTTTACTACAAGTGGTACTACTACTACTATTATTATTATTACTACTACTACTACTACTACTACTACTACTACTAGTCATACTAGTTATACTAGTTATACTATACTTCGAACTTGCCACCAACAAGAAGTATTCATTTGTCAGCAGATTAAGCAAATCCATCACAGATTTACTTCTGATATCTATCTATCTATCTATCCATTCATCCATTAACAAACTATTTGCTTTCTCGAAAAGTGTTTTATTAGATGCACAAATTGACTACATAAACCACTTAACCAAGCAAATATATGCACATATGCATTTCTGTCTACAAAATGCACAATTACTTACTATCATAAGAGAGATATAAATTAGCACACTGTATGAAAATAATATTTTGTTATATCTACTGCACTACTACGGTATTTTTATTTTTATAAAGTAAAAAATATAATTTTTCAGAATATCATTATTATTATTATTAAATGTCTCATGAAAATTTTATTAGTCCTGACAATACATCTGACACAAAATTAATCCAAAAATTGCGCACTTTTTATGAAAAAATATTAAAATAATTATTAAAAAACTGAAATTTTATTATGATATTAACATTTCAAATTTAGTTTTTTTACTTTCTTAGAATTTGCATTTTTCATTTTTTTATTATAGCCAATAATAAACAAATATAAAGTATGATACAAAATAAATATAGAAAATTATGCGATAGGATTCTGTATATGAAAAAAACAAATAAATTAGTTGAATTAACGTCCAAATTTTTCCGTACTGTTACACAGAAATCTCAAATTATGCGAAATTTTTATAAAATTTTAAAGTGAACTTGTATAAAAAACATAAAAAATTTCCAAAAAGAGGCAAAATTTTTTGAATAAAATAAATACAAAATCAAAAAAAAATGAATTAGATTAAATTTAAGCGAAAGCAGTTGGAAAAAGAAAGTAATTCAAAGAATTATTATAAAAAATTTCACCAATTCAATAAAATATAAAATTAAGACAAACGCATATAAATTCATTTGATAGCAGTGCTATGCCACGATTTTTCGCTTTTACTATTTCTTTGAAAGGTCATAAAATTAAAAGGTCAAAATGTGCAATAAACTAATTTGAATTTACTCACTCCCAAATTTATGCGATGGCAAATAAAATTATCATTTTTAGCGCTAGCAAAGACTTATCATTATTCTTTTAATCTCTTTTACATAAATGAAAATAAACACAAGCAATGTTTGATTAACAATTTTTGATCAATTTCAGACAATTTTGAATTCAATGCATAAGTATCAGCCACGTTTGCACGTAGTGAGATGCGCGGAATTGATTAACTTACCTTATTCAACTTTTCGTACTTTTGTCTTCAAAGAGACGGAATTTATTGCGGTCACTGCGTATCAAAACGAAAAGGTACGTTTACCTTTCAGTATATTACAATTAATTCTTTCTAATCTCTCTGATTATTTTTCTATTATCTCAAAATACTTCAGAATTCATCTTTACTCTTCAGAATTCATACAAACTTCAGAATTCATCTTTACAATAATTAAACAAAATTTGTAAGATAATTTTTACTGTTTTATTAAAAATTAATTAAATGATTTAATTTCTGTCATGCTCTGTAATTTTTAATAATTTAATTTGCTATTAATTCTCATCTTTCTTTTCATTTCAAACTTTGCATCGAATTTAACTTAAATTAAGCTTAATATTGTCCAGTTGTAGTATTGTATCAGTGATCTAATTATGCAAAGCATTCAAATTTTCAAATTTTCTTGCAAACTGTTAATAATTTTATGCTTAAAGCACAAAATAACAGCATATATAAAATGTAAATATTTAAAAAATGCAAAAATTGTACAAAAAACAAATTGTTCTTTTATTTTTTACTTAATGCAATTTGTTGCTTCAAAAATATTAATTAATAACAAAGCTGTTTTAAATTTTCTGCTAACTTCATGCAACCTTCGTTGCACCTTTCTGTTACTTACTTATTTTCTACTACTAATTAACCTATTAATTTATGATTATCGATTTTTTGTTTAATTATTTGTTGCATTATTTTTTCTTCTGCTCGAATTGTTGCTCATTCGTGTATCCCAAAATAACAATCAATCAACCACTTCGTTGTCTCCTTAATTAATTGTCTCATATTACAACAGCACGCTTATTACTCCTATTAGTACTATTAACTCATTGGGGACGTACTTTATATATATTCAAAAATTTAATCATTTAAAATGCAAAAAGCTTTAACTCTCAAACTGATATCATATTGTAATATCAAATTCTTGAACTCAAATTTGTACTTAAATAATAGTATTCAAAACTTAAACAACCGAACTTTCAATTTATTACTAAATCAACCAATCAGCCATGCAGCTCGCTTAAATAATGCTTAGTACACTGACTAAATGAGAATTATTATACAAAATTAATTAATTACCTCACATCTATGTAAATCAGTAAATACAAAGTTGAAAATAATTATTCAATTAAGTTTTGATATGCTTGTGATCGTTTATTGATCATGATAATATGTATACTTAAAATAAACTGAAATGAAATAATTAATTCTTTGTTAGTATTACTGTAATATATTTAATATTATCCTCAAATAATTCATCTCTACACTAATAATAATCACTTTTTGCAGAAAAAGCTTTGTTTAACAGAAAAATAACAAAAGCTCATTATTTCCTTCCATACCAATTTTCATTTTTAAAAATTGGAAATGCGCATATTACTTACTTTAAACTAAAAGTTACTGAAATTTTTTTGAAAGTATTCATTTAATAATAGTATTTGTCATTTTGAGACGTTTCACTACTATAATTGAAACTTTTAAAATACTAAAAAATCTTTTTTACTACTTTAAACGAGATTCTTTCATTCTTACACTCTAACTATTTTTTTAAATTTTCAAAAAATTATACAATAACAAAGTTGTTAAATTGAAGTGCTGCCAACAAAAAGCAACTCTAACCTTTGCTGTTTTCAAAAACTGTCAACAAAATTTAATAACCATAAAGTGCTTGCAAATGACGCAGTAACATTTTACCGAAATACCGAAATAACTGCTAAAAGCTCATAAACTTTGTAATTTTTCACTTAATAGCCAAAAATGATCAGACTTTTTTCTAGCCATACAGTAATTTGACGAGTTTTTATTGGAAAAGTTTTGTTTTGTTTTTTTTTTGATTTTAAATTTTGCTAAATAAATTATTTATAAAAGATACAAAAATTAGTAGCAGTAAATATCTCGCCTTCACTAAAAGATAGATCAATTGAATTGATAAGTGATGGTTATATTTGAGGCAGTCTATTGATAAATAAAGGTCAAAAATACAAATGACCTTTCAATCGTTTGATCTTCTTAATGCTGATAAATCAAAGCTTAGCCGGGAAATATATTTATTTTGAATTTGTTGCATGTTAAAATCTTGCCTTATTTTGCCGGCAAATGTGTGTGATAAAAAAAAAGGATTGGATTAAAATTGTACCCAAAAGCTTCTTCAACTTTGTAAGTATAATTTAATACCTTCTTAATACTTGTCTTCCATTAGTATAAATATTTATATCTGAACTCTAGCTTATAAAAGTTCGAAATGAACTTTTTGGTAATAAAACCTTAAAGAGTATACTCAGTAGTTCATATGAAACTGATTAAGAATGAAAGAAAAGTGATTACAAGCATGAATAAAATTTTCAAATTTGCAAATTCATGATTAGTTTATTAATGATTTATTGAAATGATTTATTGTTTTCAATACTAATCTGCTAAAAAGTATTCCTACTAAACTGTTCTAAAAATATTGCAAATAATGGAATTTTTTGGATTTAGGCATTAATAATTGAACTGTTAAAAATTATGCATGCATCATTTGACTTATTTATTTGAAAAGTAATATAATGTGTTTAACTTATCCTTTCTTAAACTCTTCTGCTAATTTTTTGTGACTGACATAAACACAAAAATAAGAACAAAAATTAATAAAGTTTTAAAATTGTATAATTTTAAAATTTAGAAATTATCAAATTTGTTTTACCCACAAAGTCATTTATAACTAAAAAATAAAAAAAATTTTGTGTAACTTTTTAAAAATTTTAAAATTTCTTCATGGTATGTTATTGAATCAATTTTTTTAAACTGATATATGTTTAGTACGTAACTTTTTTAAATTGACTTAAATTAAAATTAGAAACATCAAAAAGAGTAATTAATAATGTGTTTTTGCTTTAATTCTTAAATTTTTAATGTTTAAAATAAAATAATAAAATTAATTATTATTTATTTTGCTTTAACTTATTTGTTTATATAATAAAACTTGTTTTCTTCACAGAAATAATATTATCAGAAATAATATTATTTCTTCAAGTTATTGCTTTATGACTTCATTTTATGACTACCAGTAGGTAAGTCAATAAATTAATTTATATCTCAGAAGTAAAGTTAGCAGTCATAGAAGTGATAGTAATATGATTACTGGAGATTATAACATATAAATTAGGCATTTTTTTTATAGCAAATTAATTTTGTTGTTTATAACTTGCAGTGATGAACATATGCTATCAGCTGTGCCAAATTATTTCATATCATTTTCACAAAAATAATAGATTATTATACTGTAACACATTTTATTATCGACCTTTAAATTTCGTTCCAAAATTTAAAAAAATTCAATTAAATATCGTCAGCTGCGCGAAATGGAAAACATTCAATCATAATTATGCAGTATTGAAATTAATAAAATATATTAATACACAAATAACATAACAGAAACAGGTATTTATTAATTTATTTATTTGTTTAAATAAACAATAAAATAAATAAATATTTATTTTTTTATGAATAAATATTATTAAATCAATATTCATTTAAAAAAGGCTCTTTTATTACTTTAAATTCTTAATGATATTTTAAAAAACTCATGAAGATTTTTCGTTCATATTGCTTATTCTACGCAGTAAATAAAAAATTTACTCAAATTTATTATTTAATTTATTGTTTATTTAAAAATAAAATAAATAATAAGCATAACTCATTCACTTTTTACTTCATCTATTGACTTTTTTAATTTGTGAAAGTTTATAATTTCAGATATTAAGTTATATTAAGTTTTAGTTTTAAAAATAAAGCAAAAAAAAACTTGCTACTTTACTTTATTCTTTTTAACTTAATTTTATCTATTTTATTTATAATTCAAAAATGTTCACTGCAAAAGCAATTCACTGCATATTGCTGCTAGCTTTAATTTGGTATTCAATGGCTTTAGTTCAAAGCATTCTCCGAAACATCAAAAATTTTTAATGAGCTTGAGAGATGGATCAGATCAGAATTGAATAATCTAATGCGCCCTCTATTTTATTTATTATTTTAATTTATTACAATTGCTTTAGAAACATTCTGCGCGGCAAATATGTCTACTTTAAATATTTTTGAATAATCAAAATATTCTTATGAATTATTTAATGCTTCATTACTTGCGCAACTTATAATTTTAGAACTTTAACATTTTAGAAAATTTGACTTTTTCGAAAAAGTCTAAATTTTAATTGTTTATTATTTGTGAAAAATGGTAGTTCTTGCATTTTTTATATGCAACAAAATTTGAGTTTAAAAAATGAAAAAATTATATCTTATTAAAAATTATTACTATTATAATTAATTTATTATGATTGTTATTATTATTATTATTAGTAGTAGTAGTAATATTGTTGCTACTACAGGTTTAACATGATCAAATATCATTACTGCGAATATTTATTGATAAAATAATAGTTTTTAGCTGTCAGTAATTAGCATCAAGTTTAAATTAAATTTGTTTGTGTGCACATTTTTATCTTGGCATCATTTTAGGTAGTATAATTAGAATGACAGGTGTTAAGAATACACCATCCTTGACACTACGTGTATTTCTTCAGCATGTGATGTCTTCACATGCAAATAATTTTATATATATTTAATTACTATCTATTTTTGATT